GGGGGCAGGCCCAACCCAATGTCCCTCCCGCGAGGGGATCCCTCGCCAGTGCTTCTATCCCCCCCCCAAAGCCACTCCTTGCCTCCCCAGCCGGGCTCCTTAGGGCCCCAGCAGGAAGCAGTTGTTGGAGCTAAGCAGCCATCATGAGAAAGAGTTGGCAAAACAGCTCGATTCAAATTGGATCTGACCAAGAAGGAGGCTCAGCAGAAGCACCTCACCGAGGACTATGAGCGTAGGCTTTCCAAGCAGATGGAAAACCTGTGGGAGTGTAAGGCCAGGTTCCAGCGCCTGGAGGCTCAGCAGGCTGAGATGGTCATCCAGTTCCAGGCCATGATGCTGTCCCACTAGAACAAGGTCCTCTGGCTCTTCACCACCAGCAGCGCTTCCCCCCAGTCTTCACCCAAAGCCCCACACCAGGAGCTGAAGCAGACCCCAAGTTGGAATTTCTGCCCCCCCTCTGCCCCGCGCAAAAAGACCCCGAAGGGGGAGACTCTCTGTAGCAACACAAATGTTCATTGCACATATTTGAGGACCCCTGATTTAGTGCAATATAAAAAATGCAAATAATTTTTCTGTGGACCACCAGTGGTCCACGGACTACCGGTTGGTGACCGCTGCACTAGAATACATATATAGTTGCATATGGGTATTATATATTGGGTTATCCAATATCTGGGAGCAGATGACAGCATTACAGAAATACTGATCTCTCTGTCAATGGACTTAAGCCCATTAAGAATGTCTTATTAGCCTCATGTGCAGCAAATCCTGCAAAATGCAGATCCTGAGACCAAACACATACAAGGGAAGGATGTCGTCTGAGCAATTGAAGTATTGGAATACTTGGGGGACAGAGGAGAATCAATACCGTAGCGGTAAGAAAAGGACAGGAAGTGCCTCGTATATATTTGCTTAGTCCAGGATTAATACATAATAAGAATCGCAGATATTTTAGGCTGTGATAATCCTTACCTGATCTTACAACTAGGAAATGCTTGCTATTGAGTTAGAATTATTATCTTTAAAATAAGCTGACACAATAGATTCACAGTGAACTTCCAGGAGCAAGAACTGATTGGGCATCAGCAGAAGTCAGTAGGGAAAAATTGGGGCCAAAGGAGAAGTCCTCTGAGGAGAAGAACGACAATTGATTGTTCAAAAGAATGTACATAATATGTTCATTGGATTGTTTAATAACTATAATAATATTGCACAGCAGTAAGAAGTAAACCTCTTTATCTTGTTGAAATCTGCAAACAAAATCTGTTTTAAATGTTTTGCAGACAAGAACAAGAATCCACCCACCCCCAATTTTTCTATTTAAGGATTTTTAAAAATCATTTTGTTCATAAATGCAGGAGGGGTATATATAACCTGTCAAAATCTAATAGTTCGGATGTAGAGCTGAAGAGAAATTTGATATAAAATAAGGCTTTCTCTCCCTGTTCCTTAAGACTTAAGTTCTTTTTAAAGTTCAGGAGCTCCTCTGAAATTGCATAATAGAGAACGGCAGACAATAGTAGGAATGGAAAAAACTTGATTGGCGGCCTTGTACAAACTGAAATGCCTTTGTGCTCACACTAGATATTTCTGGATTCAACTGATTTGTATTATATTGATTGACTGACTATTAAATACAGAGGTGAAGGAAAGACTTGTAGAATTATGTGCTACGTGCTTTATGATAACGTCATTTCCTTTGCCTAAGACTTATTTGAAGACACACACAATATGGCTGTGCATGCAGCTTTTGAAAATGATTCAAAAGAAGTGCTTTGGATCTTGCCCAAGGCCAAGCCTCTTTGTACTTTTCTTAAAGCAAGCTTCTGGTTGCATTAATTTTAATGAGCATATTCCTTAAAGCAGTGGCATTTCTCTCCCTTTTGGACTTGTACAAGTTATGTGGTGGTCTTTGTGTGATGCTTTCAAGTAATTTTTGAAGCATGCATTGCACACAGTCCTAATAAACAATGTGGTCTTTCTTCAAAAGTTTGTCATTGGAAAGGCATTGCAGTAAGAGCCAGTGAATTGCAGTCAATGGTTGATATCATCTGGAGAGATCCAGCCCTATTTGTGGAAAATGCACTAGATAATGTTGCAGCAATCATTATCTTTCAAGCTGATTCTAGTTCCCAGACAGATGGTTATTATGCAAGCAACCTTTAGGTCCTGGAGTAAAGGCATATGTGTCTAATTAATATATATCTCTATCTCTCTATCTCTCTACCTACACCTACCTACCTACCTACCTACCTACCTACCTACCTACCTACCTACCTACCTACCTACCTACCTACCT